CGTGCCAGAAGAGCTTCGTGGCACAATAGACGATGATATGAAGGAATCGGGGTTGAGGGAACTTATTATATAAAGTGGCAATTTTATTAATGAACGGGATTTGGTATTGGAAATTTTGACCTCGACCGTTGCTGAAAGGAAACACAAGGAAGAACAGGAACAGTATAAAATATACAAACATTTCTGTGTTTTATAAAATTTAAACTAAATAAATATTGAAAGAGCAATAAATTGCTAAAAGATTTAATTTAGAGTTTTTCAAACATAATAAATCGTCTCAAAAATAATAATGTTTTTATTAAATAATTGACAAAAGAATAAAATACACGTGACCTTATAATTTTGAAAATAAAATAACGTATTTGGAAAATAACTGTTTAAAAAACATGAAATTTTTTTATTACTGTCAGAAATGTGAAATGTTCTTTCCTCCAACGTCATGTTAAAAGAGAGTTTTATTCTCTTATTGAATTCTATAATTTCTCTTTGTTCAATTTCTATGAGATTCCCCCATAAAATTTTAATTAATAACCATTACATATTTAATATTATAAACAATCATCGAGCAATATTTAATAAAACAAGAATAAATAAAACACTTCTTTTTATATGATTTTATTTATAACGATTAATTTACAGAAACTACTTTTTATTCTCAACGGTTAATTTAATGCAATAAAAATGATTTATTTAAAATAAAAATTAAAAGAGAATATTTTGGCTAAATAAAGGCCAAATAAAATTCAAAATTCTTTCTTCAAAACCTACTTTTGCAATTTGTTCGGTTCAAAAGCAAGTCTGAAATACGAAATAATCAATTATTTCATTTCGTAAACTGACAAAATATCAATTGTGACGTTGAAAAATAACAGTTTCAGTTTTGGGCCAAGGCACGCTATGTAAATAGTTGTGTTTTCTGATTTCAGTTTCAAGTGGACGTCTGTAACAGTCCTAAAATGACCGTGGCCGGATGGCCGAGCGGTCAAGGTGGCAGCCTACCGCTTCGACTGAAATAATTAAATCCTAAATATGCGGCCGGATGGCCGAGCGGTCAAGGTGGCAGCCTACCGCTCTGGGGGACCCGGGTTCGATTCCAAACGGGTCGAAAAATTCCCAGGTATTTTTCGGGGATGGTCCGTTCGGATATGTTGGAGCCCGTCCCTCACCGCCCGGCAGCCCCATTGTGGGCCTGGCCGAACCCATAATGGGCCTGCAAAAAGAGGCCCTCTTAGTGCCCACAGGGCGGAAAGAGTTAAAAAAAAAAGTCCAAAAATGATCAAAAAAGAAATAACAATTAATTCAAATTATTCATATTTACTACTCGAATAATTATATTTTCGTCTGTAGGTTATATCGGTAAAGAAAAATGTCATTAAAATAATCAGTAACCTGTCTATAAATTTTCTTTCTAACTGTCATTAAAAATATACATAAAGATGTCATACAATTTTCAACACGTGATTGAATATAATCAGTGAATTACTTATGAATAGGTACAAGAAATTCCACAGAAAATATGTTAAATACTATTAATATTATTATTCAAACCAATGCTTTTATTCCAACGCATGAAGTGACGTAATATATAACATTAATTCGTAAAATGAAACAACAAAAGATTTAATGTGAATATTTAATGCTTCGATATGAAAATAAAAAATGATTCCGTGCATAAAATACGGAAAAAAATGTCAATCTGTAACCACAATTAATTATAAAATTACCTTTTGTAATCAGTCTTTAATAAAATGTCTGGCATCATGCAATAATCCAGCAGGATGCAAAACCAGCACATTTAGAGCATCTGCAAACACATTTTTATATTAATTATGTTATATTGTTATTATTATTATATATTCTGACGCATCTAATCGTAAAGATAAAAACGTATTTCCAACCGTTATTAAATGTTTTGATTCGGAAACTGGATAAAAATTACAATTTTAGATTTCGTATTATTGCCCGGCGAAACTTCAAAAACAATTTTCAATTTCATTATTAATTTAATATTTTCGAAAAAACAATTTAAAACGAAAAATGAATGCATTACGCAGACAATACAAATGCAAATCTTGGACGAAAAAGGAGAAGAGGTACGAATAACATTTTTTTATAAATTAAACGAAAACCTTAATCAAAACATTATTGTTGTTGTCTGTGCATTTGGGCAGCACACATAATACATAAAGCTATTCAAACAGCTGCCGACTTGTTGTTCTGTAGATGTGGAAAATATTATTAAAATACAGTAGGGCGTCGATTATCCGAAAGTCAATCATCCGAAAGAATTCCAGTCGGCAAATTTAAATTTTCGCCAGTGCTGTGGGGCTGCAATCTTTGGCTATGTCTTGGGCTACTCAAATATTTTGCGTTTTTTATACTAAATTAACTTCTGAAGTATAATTTTTTATTGTTTTTATATTTTTCAATATATTTATTTTGTTTGTACAAAATAAAAAAATAAGTTTTAACGATACAATAGCCACGATTATTAGTGTGAACCGCCGGGGAGGGTGTAGGTCTCCCGATCCGGCAACAGGTCGTTAAACCCTTGTCACTGGTCAGGATGGATTAAAATTTTAACCTTTCCCGCGGTAACGGGATTAAATGTTTCGGGTCGAGTGGTGGAGGGAGGAGTGCGTCGGTAAGATGACCGGCGATATACGAGTAAAGATGACACCACTTTAACAGGATAACAACGATTTATTAGCTACATAGAGATTACAATAACCAATTTCAAAAGGGAAAATCTGAATCCCTGAACCGCGAAGGACCGAGAGAGAGTTCACAAAAATTTGTTCCATACCTCTTTATGGTTTTGAATATTCTTAAGTAAAAAGGTTTTGATATCCAACGATGTGGTAGGATTAGGATAATAATTCTTCTTCCGGACACAATATCGTATAGGACACAGTATATTAATAGGACACAATATTCTTAGGACACAGTGACGGCGAATGAACGACTCCCCCGAGAAGGGGAAGGAAGGGGTTTTTATAAGTTCGGCGTGGGAGAATGGTCATGTGACCAATTGTTGTGAGGTAAAAGGTATGCAGATGGGTCAGAGTTGTTCCCGGGCCCATGTTAACTATAAACTTTAGCGTTGGAATGTGGGATTAGTTTCGAATTGAACGGATGTTTATGTCGAACATAAACGAAAAGTTTTTTTTCGTTAGGTTCCACTTATTTAATTAGATTTTAATCAAATACAGGACAATTGAGCGACAAATAGCCGACAAAACTTCCGGATTTCACATTCACTCCCTGTTTTCTTTAAAATCGCACTTAGTAGTGTGATTTTAAACCTTTGGATTGTTTTGTCTGGGTAGAGGTATGTTTACATAGAGAATGGTTCAAATGACCCTTTGCTCTCTTTTTTTTTTCTCTCTCTCCTTTTTTTTTCACCACAAAAAATTCGTTCGGTTACATAAAAAGGTCGCGTTGAAAAAAAAANAGAATGGTCATGTGACCAATTGTTGTGAGGTAAAAGGTATGCAGATGGGTCAGAGTTGTTCCCGGGCCCATGTTAACTATAAACTTTAGCGTTGGAATGTGGGATTAGTTTCGAATTGAACGGATGTTTATGTCGAACATAAACGAAAAGTTTTTTTTTTCCCCGTTAGGTTCCACTTTAAGTTAAAGTAAAATTTAATTAGATTTTAAGCAAATACAGGACAATTAATCGACAAATGGTCGACAAAAATTCCGGATTTCACATTAGTATTTTACAAAGTTTACGTTAGGCTTAACATCGACGAAAATTTAACGCGAAGCGACACGCAACGGAGAAAAATGTGAAGATGGGATAAATTAATATATTTTCCGTACATAATCGGTTATCCGAAACATCGATCTTCCGAACAACCGCAGTCCCCAATTCCGAACAACCGCAGTCCCCAATAATCGACGCTCTACTGTATATTCATATTTCTATATATACGCTGTGCGCGTTGAAAGCCTTAAAAAATTTTGTGAAATTGTGGAAATTGGATATCAGAAAATACTTGGATATAGAAAAACGCGCTGGTTACTCTTTTACCAGCTGTTGAACGAAGTTTGAAAATATATGATCCTTTGAAATCCTAGTTTCTGTCACACGATATATGTCCAAGTATTTTAGAAAAGTTTTTTGAAATTGAATCTTCTAAAATTTGGCTAGAATATGTAAACAATCTAGCAGCTCTTTTATAAGTCAGGTAGAAGAACAAGCTGCAATAAATCCCACATATTTCACGAATCACGTCAAAAAGTTCTACAGTAACTGCTTAGATTATTTAGAAGAATTGACGGTACATTACAATGATATTGAACAATTTCATCGGGCTATGTTAAAACAAGAACTTAATTGAAAAAAATGTGCAAAAATCATTCGATCACATTAATCAATATTTTCCAGATAGTAATATTTTCGTATATGATTTTTTTAATGAGGTATCATTAAGGAAAAAATATATTAATAAAGAAAAGGTTGAATCTTGGGCATCATCAAAAATCTCAACAAAAACCAAACGGTTAGAAATATTTTACCCTTTTGCAACAAACTATGTTCAATACAATAATGCAATATAAATTGTGGAATACGCAATGTCCTTAGCGGGAACAAATGCCGTGACTAAACGCGTTTTTTTTTTCCGTAAATAAAGTGTGGACATCTGATAAATGACAATTAAGTGTTCAGACTTTGAAAGCCTTATTATGTGGAAATATAATTTAACAAATTCTTGCAAAAAATGTTATAACATTTTAAACATTTTAAATCTACTAAGAAAAATTCAGTCAAACAAGACAATATGCGAATGAATAAGAAGTTTTTAAAAATGTAAAATATTATTTATATTTATTATCTTTTTAAATTTTACATATGTTGAAATTAAAAAATATATATATATAATTCAGTAAAATACAATTTTTACGCTTATTGATGATAAAATTTTGTTGCTCTAGAACAATTTTTATTCAACAAGACAACCAATCCTTTTTTCTGTCAATTTTGTTCCGCTTTACCAGTGTTAAAATCTGGTCACCTTAATGTTCTGTGCTAAATTGCCACTCCTGACATGTACTCCTTCATACCTCTAAGCTGGCAAACCACGATTTTATAAACAAGACATAATCTTGTCAATAAAGTACTTGGGTTTATAATGTAAATACAGTCATCTTCGGAGTTGAAATCTATAAGTTTCCTTTCCGGTTCTTAAGTCTACAAAATCACAGATATTATTACTTACGCAATTTGCTGACCGAGAAAAGACAGAAAGAATGAAAACTTAGCTCCGAATCAGAGATCTCGCCCGAAATGCAGCAACACAACAAGAATCTATGGAATAAATGTTTTAAATATCCGATAGACCTTCCTCCTCTTATCGGGTTATTTGCTTGCAACCACGACTCGCCTTTGTTCGAGGAGTCACATTTGGTCGCAGGCAAATCTTTGTCATTCTGCGGAAGATAAAAATTAAAATTATCGATAATCCAGTAAAGGATCATTTTAAATTTCTTAGAGAAAAATCAATGGTCTACCTGAATTGGGTAAACTTTGTTTTGCCGAACATTCGGTTTGGCAACTCCTCTCCTACTAGAAAGAAATTCTCATTTAATATCAAACAAATCTTATAAATTAACATAATTAACCGTTCAATTTACCTCTTCCTCTCCATCTTATCAGTCGAATTTCGCAAAGAAACTTTCCGAGCGCACTTATGCATTCCAATGAACAATCGCAACAATTGGATAACAATAAATCAAAAACTTTTGTTGAAAAATTCATTATAATAACGTCATAGGATGCTACATTAATATTAAATACTTTTAATATAAAAAATTTAAAACGTTAATCTACTCTTTGTTTACAAATTTCGGTTATTTTCTTGCAAATAACCGAAATTTATTTGCAAGCAAAAATTTCGAACGATCGCGTCGTTCGATGAATGAAAATAGTGTCATACATCTATATCTTTCATAGGAACGTTTGAATTAAAATTACGTTACTTTCGGTTTGAATTAAAATTACGTTACTTTCGGTTTGCATCAGACGGTATTGTATAGTTAATAGAAGTTTCGTGACGCAATTCTTTCCAGGTGTGATCTTCGATTTCATTTCTCTAATTCCGTTCTCAAGATTAAGGAAAGACAGTCGTACAGACCGACGACACATATTTTCTTATCAGTTAAGAAAAGAAAATATTTATTGTAATTACATTTTCAAATTAATTTAATGAAAATAACACGGAAGTCTTCGAACAATGTTTACTAATTATTTTATGGCATTTTTTAGTTAAGAACATAACGTTTTAAATATTAATACGCTAATTTAATAATTAAAAATTTAAATTAACGCTATTTAACGTTAATTAAACAAATTCTACTTATCTATTAAGAATTTTGTTTATTTTTACTTAATTCTGTAGCTTTTAAAAGGAAATAGTTTTCATTTGATGCAATTTTTTATGCAAACTGGAAGTCAGGTTATTTTAATTGGAAGGACAAATTAGCTCCAATACGCTGTTCTAGTGGATAAGAACCACAAAAGAAAAAGAACGATGCTTCATCTGCCCTATGTAAAAGTCTCGATGCAAAAACATGTTAATTAATGATTAAGACAACGATGATGATATGAAATTCGTGTGTTGCGCTAAATATTGTGATTATACGTTCTATTCTATACATAACAGTACACCATATTTTCTCACATTTCAGTGTGTCAGCAACTCATTCTGTATTATCATTTTTATATATATTCTGAAAAAAGTTAATTTTTCAGTTGTGTGACGTTGACATTTAAAAAGACAGAGCAACTCTGTGTTAAAATCCGAATTTTTTTCTCTATAGTTTTATTTAAATGTTTCAAACGACTTGAATATTTATGTCAGGTTAATTTTACAGATTTATACATTAAAAATACCGAAATACTTTGTTTTAACCTAATTTATAGTAAATCACTTTTAAATATACTATTGTACTTCTGTAAGGAAGTCTAGCCATTGATAAGTGGATTCAAAGTTATCCCAGGTGTTTCTGTTTTCTCTACATTGAATTAATAAACAAAATCAGAAACCTAATTAATAATAGAGCTTATGTTTACTAATTTGATATAAACTATTAAATTCAAATTTTAAAATATATAAAAAGGAGGAACTGCACTCCACGATTGGCAGTGATTAAAGAAGCAGGTAGAGCACCGTAAAGAGCAGATCCTACGACATGAGGATTGAATTGCCAAAGCTGAAGTAAAGATCACAGATGTTGAGAAAGCTTTGGTTGAGCTCATATCTGAGATTGGGAATGCCACTCCTTTTATAGCTATGACGGCAGTAAGTTGATTTAACGTACCGACCTTCGATAGGACATCTTCATGGTTAGCTTATAAAATCCAGTTTGAAGCCGTAGTGAAGACGAATGGGTAGACTAAAGCACAGGCCATGACAGCAATCCCGTTGGCCCTCCGCGATCAGGCCTTGACTGTACTAGAGGCCCTCGGTAACAACGTCACTTAAAACCAAATGGTGGAGGCCTTGAAGTCCCGATATGGGGACAAGCATCTCGAGCACATGTGTCAGGCACAGCTTAATTTAACTACGAATAAACTCTATTAAGTCTTACTTCTGTTGGGATATAGCACATACTCTACCTCCCCACTCTCTACCTTTTACCAACAAAATTTAACAGCATCAAGGTACAGTTCTTCATATACAAGCTACCGTGCCGAATTTTTTTAAAAATCTTAACCCCTTTTGAGATATTAAGCGAAATATACCCCAACACACAAACTACACAATCATATACATACATATCCACCCAATTTTTTGACTACTTTATCGACTTTTATTAGACTCAAAATGTACAGATTTGCAAATAACTCACAGAGTGAATTGTTAAAAATGTAAAATTTAATATGATCAAGTAATATTAAACAGTGATGTCGTTATAAATAAAACAGAAGTAACAAATCTATAAGAAAGTTTACCTATAAACTTTGCATATAAAGCTAAAAAAGATATTATTTTTTTAAGTTTATTAAAATTTACTTTTTAATCTAAAAATTAAATACCTTATTATTATTATTTTATGTAGATTATGACAATTAACAATGTGAAATACAGTCGACCCCCCTATAACGTGCGTTCCTATAACGACAATTCCTATAACGTAGCGAAAAAATTGTAGCAACCTTTGTATAAAGTACCTCCCATAACGTCGTTTCGCGACAAGATTGATAGAATCTGGACCAATAGTGGATGAGCAGCCGAACTACTTTCCTCTGACCCTGCGCCACGCTACGGAGCGGCTAAATTGAGTTTGCTATCGTCTGTTTAGTATTATATATAAATTATATATAAATTAGGTACTGTACATATAATTATATATTAATTATATATAAATTAGCTACTGTATATATAATTATATATTAACTTAATTTATTGTAAGTTTATTATAATTATATATATGCTTTCTGCAGNTACAGTCGACCCCCCTATAATTACGGTCCCTATAATTACGATTCCTATAAAACTACGAAAAAATATACGTATTTTGGAAATGTTGAGTCGGATTAGTGTAGAATCGATTAATTTTATGGAAGAAAACTTTTCAATCAGCCGTAGTCCGTAAATTTGACACGTGTCGGGCTGTGATTGGAACGACTTGTAAGAAATCGGATTCCTAATAAATTGGAACGTATCTATATCTTATAGGGGGGTCGACTGTAATTTAATTTTTTACATTTTTGTTTCGAAAAATGTCTTTAAGTTAAAATTTTGTTTTGATACAATTTCATAATAATTATGAAATATTTTTTTTATTTGAACGATGAAATTAAATGTGTTTTCATTGCAAAAAACAGTACTTTCTTTAAAATATTTGATTCTTGTAAACCTTTCATATGACATTTCAAATGGATTCAATCTTCCTATTGAGTTTATGAACTTTTCAAAAGTTTTAGTATTATTTTTGATGCTTTTTATTGAGTATACAATAATGCAATATAAAAAATTCAGGTTATTTTTTTATTTTTTTGCTTTATAGATATAGTATAGTAATAGATATGCTCCATAAAAATATTCTGTAATAGCTGTTACCCGCGACTTGGCCCGCGCGCATTTTACAAGCAAACACCATTTATATTCGGTATTTCAACAACCACAGTAATTGTTATATAATACCAATCTCTGAAAATCAAACAAACTGTTTTCAATTTAATCAATTTTCTGGAACGTTTACAATCGTTCTATAATCGAACCAATATGCAAAAACAAATTCGAATGTAAAACAGTAGAAGCCGTTTTTCCGGTTAAGCCTTAATGCTCACTTCTCCCCTCCCGCGGGGAAATTTCGAAAAATGCCTTCTCAGTGTTCGTTTTAATGACGTACCTTAACTGTGTACCAAATGTCACCTCTTTAGGTTCAGCGGTTTGCTGTGAGCGATGATGAATCAATCAGCCGGTCAGTCAGAACAAGTAATTTTATATATTTAGGTTGTTAGAGCGTAAGTAGAAGTAATATTTGGAATTGGGTTTCTACTTACTTTTGCTTTGATTATTTTTGACGGTTATATCATAATATACAACGAGTTGACAAGTGTATGAATCAAGTGTATTTGTTAACGTATCATACGAATACCAACGAAACTATTTATACTAAATTTGTATATATATTTATTAAGAATTGTATACATTTTTAACACCATAGCCAAATATTCTAGATAATGAGATAACTACCTAATAAATTCGGATTAATAAAAAATATCAGTTAACGTTGACAAGAGATTACAAATTACAACAGTTCCCTAGATATCCGACACAGAAAAACATCGATATTAATTTACATGCTGCAAGCATAATACAAAATTGCTATAAATGTTATATGTTAATTTTATATATTGTGTTATATTTCCATATTTGTTAGACGTAGAAAGAGTGGAGGTCTCGTACTTTTCCCTTGTGTATCTCTTTTCTCTCACTTCCGGATATTGATATCATAATTCAGTTAATTTCTTTATGTTGTGTTTCATTTTGTTTATTTTTATTATTCGTACTTTTTCTTAAAACTTTTCTTGGAAACAAATTCCCGCAGAAAATATGAGACTGGAATCTCCAAAAAAAGGTAACAGAATACAGCTCCAATAGTGGAAAAAAACAACACGAACAGGAATAGCATCCACTGAAAAAATATACAGATTTATTAATGTTTAACATAAATTTACTATATTTATTTGCTTAAATACATATATGTACTGTAAATATAGTCTGAATTTATAAGATTAAACAGTAAATATAATATTTTATCTAAGAAAATATTTGATTAAAAAAATCAGTGAGAAAAAAAACATGGAAAACAATATAATTAGTAAATGCAACAATAGTCAGGACAACAATAATACTTATAGAAAATAGAAGAAACTGTAATCGTCTGTAACCTCTAATGGAAGGTCGACATCATCTTCAAAAAACATTTGTGTTTCTAAGATGAATGAGAAGACGTAATGAAAATGTTTACAGTTTCTTCTATTATTTAACCCTACTCTTCTACTTTTGGACCATGGACCATCTTTTCAGGAGCTTTCTTTAAACCATCTTTTTTGGAAACTATCGCGACACTTCGCCTGCCACGTATTTTGTCGTAAGGTATTCCTAAATATGTGACGCATATTCGATAGTTTCAAATTCCTTTTGCTTAGTTTATATTTATACTTATTTTCCGTTTTGGATCAAATTGACACCATAGTGTCTTCAATGTTCTATGGTATTTTTTCCATATTCCAGGGTTGTGTGACGGCGTGGCATAATAATAATACGAGACGACGAGGACTTTCTTACGAAGATGTTCTGCAGTGTTCAGGTAAACTAAGTGGAGTAGACAGTGAAAATGTGCCTAACTTTGCAGAACATAAGAGAGACAAACGGCCATAGTTCTTGAAGGAATTAGCCCTCGTTTTGATTTTTCCACATGCACTTCAATGATTGAAAGTACAGCCGACGCCGAAAGATGTCAAATAGGTCATTTGCAGTTTCTACATTGTACCAGAAGCACCCTGACCAGCCAAAAGCACCACATATATTCATCCAGGTTAACGCAAGAAATGCTATATTTGTCCCAGATCTATTGATATGGAAACCAAATTAGTCTGTAACGAGTACAATAAGTTTGTGTGAAAAGCATACCAAACGGTTGTGCAACCAAAGCCAACAAATTTTGCATAGAGGACAAAAAGCTTTGTGTAATATTATTTGAATGTAATAATACATTGTAATCCCATATTATTTCATTAAAAAATATTGTAATAAAGTGTTGTTATTTTGATCATATAGCAAGTTTGTCACTTGGGTCAAATTTAACATATGATACCAAGAATGTTATTTTTTTCATAATACCAGAGCAGGGTAAACAACGTCATGTAAACAGTTTCCTCTAACGTTGTCATGTTGGAAAATAAATACGAAAGTTTGATTGATTTTTCTTACCGGAAAATTCTAAATATTATGAAATATTATATAAATAATGAATTAGAATTTAAATAAATTACAGAAAAAGTATATAATTAAAATATCGAAAAATATATTTTTCAAAAATTATAGAAACAATTTTAGAAATAAACAAAGTTATACCAAATTTATTTCTGTAACTGAGTTTGGGCTTCTAATCTTCCCAAAGACATAAAGAAAAACTAAAGGGTGCAGAAGATAAATCCAGAATACCAGTCGATCCATTGCGACAAAGAAGTAGAAAGAAAGGAATTTGTTCACGACACCTACAATATTATAAAATTATATTTACAGTATGTATAGAAATTATGTTAACAATATTTATATACATAAATGATATCAACAATCTTATTAATTGATAAAAGGGAAATATACCCATTTTTATTTTTTTGTACATACGACTGGAAAATATATTGTAGGACGCAGTGCCGGCCCGAGGCAAATTTTAGGATGGAGCGAGATCCTATTATGGCGTCCCCTTGGTTACCCCTAATTTATACCCTTTAATTTTCTTTACCACTGAGGAGCCCTCTAGGGCTTAGCGCCTGGAGCGGCTGCTCCGTTCGCCCTATGGTAGGGCCGGCTCTGGNGGCAAATTTTAGGATGGAGCGAGATCCTATTATGGCGTCCCCTTGGTTACCCCTAATTTATACCCTTTAATTTTCTTTACCACTGAGGAGCCCTCTAGGGCTTAGCGCCTGGAGCGGCTGCTCCGTTCGCCCTATGGTAGGGCCGGCTCTGGTAGGACGTTAAGTGTTGGTATATATGGCGATTTGTAACTTGTTTCATTGGAAATGGACGCATCAGCAATGTCTATAATTATAAAACTATCGTAAACATATTTGCGTGCCCGTTTCTTTCTCAATTCCAAAGTCACCACAACGTTATGGAGGCTTACGATTTCATCTTTTGCTGTAGCCTCGATGGATGACAGATGTCAAGCACCTGTTTCAAACCACAAATAGCTAAAAATGGCAATAATGTGAGTTTGTTTTCTGTCATCATAATGGAACTGATTCCAGAAAACACCTCTGTTACGAATTAACTTTGTTGTGAACTGCATCGTTTGAACATCGACATCAATATCCTTGCCGAGAAAATTATAAAGTTCGATATGACCACGACAACGCGCCTGCATACAGAGCGAAGCTCATCTTAAAGAAGTTGGCTAATCTGTGTTGGGAGGATGTGCCTCATCCATCCTACATCCTAGACATACCATGAACACAACAAGTCCATAGCAGACCTACCAAGTATTTTTCGGCCCAGCAGAGACATGTTGCCAATGTAGAGTTCAATGGCAATACCCGACCCGCAAGACGTTATACAAAGAAAACCCAGAATTGTGCTTTCAAGGTATTGGAGGTTTATGGTCAAGAAGCCGAGATATAGTTCATATTACCAGACTAAACTGTAGTTATTGTTAAATTAACTATCAATAAAATTTTTCTGTTACCTTTTAAAATGTTTAAATTTCTCCTTTACAACCTGATAAAATATTTAACAATTGTAAATATTTTTATTTATTTCTTATCTATACATCATAAAATATACAAAGTCGATTCTTCCTTTTTATACTTGTTGACATTCCCTACAAAAACACCTTAGCGTTTGTATTCATAAAATAAAAAGTATGACATTACAATGTATGATAAAATATTCACAATTTTCTTTCTATACTTCTTTATATTTCAGTATAATATTAGATACAATTATGAATAATATGTAAAATGTAGAGTAAAATGAAATTTTCTCATTTTATCAAAGAAATTTATTCAATGCATCATGTTTTATTCGTGGACCATGATAAAACAGTAGTGTCCAGAAAACAATTTTAATTCTATTTGTTTGAAACATTAAATATATTCACTTGACATTTACAAAGTATCAATACAACTAGAAATAAATACAAATGTTTTCTCTTACACGCTCGTTTTTGTAAGCCTATCTTTTAAAACTGAAGTACTGGATCCTGTTTCTTTTGTATTTTTTTCCTCTCAGAAAGCAATACCTAAAATTTGCTAATTGTAAAAGGTTTTTTTTTATTATCACTTTCTTGGCTGCTGTATATATAAGAGGAAAAGTATAGCGATGAAATTGAAAATTAACTCAAATATTTTTACATTTTTGGACATATAACACCCTGAAATTGAAATACCGAGAAATACAAAAGCACTTCGAAGTAATTTCTGTATGTATGAATATGACATTCATACATATAGAAATTTATTGCTAGTGTAACAGGATTTTGCTCATTCTCTTTAAAGCTTAATAACTTCTGTGCTTTTTTTAAAAAATTTTTGAAGGTCTATTGGGAAATTTGCTTATTATAGGAATTGATGTTAAATTGTAGTTATTAACCACTTTTTCCCTAATTTTCGTTTAGGAATTTTTAATTAAACATAAAAAATACTTAAAACTGAAAAAAGGAAAGAAATGCGTTAATTTTGAAGATAAAGCTTCAAACTTTATTTTCCATTGTCTCGCCTTTCTGCGAAACTTGACACCAATGAGGCATTGTGTTTACAGCTGGATGACCTTGAGAACAGTTGGTGTTGGATTTCCCGAGACATTCTCATAGAAGTCTAAGGAGGTAAACGGTTTAAATTGGGGTTAATACTAGCTGGTCTTATATTTCCAAATATTTTTAAAAAATTACGTTTTTTATTGCGTTTTCCGGCCCATCGACTTAATTAAACGTATATATAATAAAATCTATTAATTAAAAAGAATCCAAAATTATTGGAGTTCGTTTTTGACATTAGAGAGTAGCTTTAAATAACTTTACGGAAGAAAAATCCGTGCACTATTACTCTAGAACAGTGTTCCTCAAACGGTGTGCTGTCACAAGGTGTAAGATGTGACGTGAACTTTTACATATTCTATTAATTTCAAGCTTTATTTATATATATTTATCACAATTGCTGTGCTTCTTATGCTTGTATTTTAAGTGTTATCTCATAAGTGCCGCAGCACTCATGAAATAAGATGATGTTCGTTTATTCTTTATTACAAGCATTTTTATGTATTTTAAGAAATTAAATGTAAAATAAATTAGCTCACGGGTGTTGATGTCTGTTTAATAATAATAATAATAATAGGTTAGTGGCATTACATAATTTTATTAATAGTATCATATCATACATTTTTGAGGGGAATAACATTTTGGTGTGCCATGTTGAGTCATGGGTGTGCCGCGAGTAGAAAAAGGTTGCAGAACACTGANTTAATTAAAAAGAATCCAAAATTATTGGAGTTCGTTTTTGACATTAGAGAGTAGCTTTAAATAACTTTACGGAAGAAAAATCCGTGCACTATTACTCTAGAACAGTGTTCCTCAAACGGTGTGCTGTCACAAGGTGTAAGATGTGACGTGAACTTTTACATATTCTATTAATTTCAAGCTTTATTTATATATATTTATCACAATTGCTGTGCTTCTTATGCTTGTATTTTAAGTGTTATCTCATAAGTGCCGCAGCACTCATGAAATAAGATGATGTTCGTTTATTCTTTATTACAAGCATTTTTATGTATTTTAAGAAATTAAATGTAAAATAAATTAGCTCACGGGTGTTGATGTCTGTTTAATAATAATAATAATAATAGGTTAGTGGCATTACATAATTTTATTAATAGTATTATATGATAGGCTTTTGAGGGGATAAAAGAAATCAATAATAAGGTAGTAAGGCTAACGGACTGGGTAACAAATACCCTTGAAAAGAAATATTTCAAAAAAATAAGGTGGATTGTAAAGAAACAAGCTCCCAAGAAACAAAAAAGAAGTGTACCGCCTTATATTCTATGGGACCAAAGTACCAAAAATTGTGGATATGGTATTAAAGAATGGACCCAGTTACGTTCCAAATAACATGAACGATTGGGAAACTACAATGGCTGAAATGGAAAGAGGTATGGCCGGTCTTAATGAAGTAGAAAGGAATTATTTTAAATGGAAGATGGTTTTCATAAAAAAGGAAAGACATAAGGTAGTTTGTAGGGAAAAATTAAATATGAAATATACAAAAGAATGGCTAACGAAAAATCAGTTAGTGTTAACAAACGCCGACAAAACTAAACAAATGGTTATTATGGAAAGAGGAAGGTATAATGAAGTCATTGAAGATTATCTTAAGAAAACGGAATGTGATATCGTGGACGATAAGATTGTAACAATAACGAACAACAAAGTTAAAAAACTAGAAAAAACTCCACTCGCGAAGTACATGACGTTATTAAAAAGGTCACATAACCCGTGCCCCCGAATACCCAGAATATTTGCGTTCGCAAAAAACTCACAAGCAAAACAAAGAAATTAGACTGGTAGTTGAGAAATGTGATGCTCCAACCTTTATATTAGAGAAACGATTAAAAAAGTATATCTATGAAATGTTGGAAGATAATGTATATGTAACACAGGATCCAAATAAATTGGTAAAAGAGTTACAAGGTTTGGCACTGATGAATGATGAAATAGGAACGGTTATGGATTTTGATAGCATGTACCCTTCCATGAAATTAACATCTTGTTTCAATACTCTTGTTGATTTTATGATACAACATAATCCAGGATTAACAGCATATATGGAAGACTTAAATAAATTGGCGGATTTGATGTGTTACCAATCCTTTTTTACGTTCAATGGGACGGTGTACAAACAAAGGAAAGGAGTCCCAATGGGTAGTCCCATGTCGAGTCTCTTGTGCGAATTAGTGGTACGTCAACTAGAGAAGGAGGTTCTAGAAAACTGCATGGAGGACATTATATTATACAAAAGATATGTTGATGACGTATTGATAGTTTGGAAAAATAACCGAAGGATTGAGGAATTTTTAATTACGATAAATAACAATAAGCATGGGTTAAAACTAAAATTTGAACAAAAAAGCCATACACATATCCATTTTTTGGATATTAACATAAGATTTAAACAAGGATATGTACAAACGGCAGTGTATCTAAAACCACACATTCTCCACTATATATCCCGGCATGGTCTAATGATCCGTTTAGATACAAGACGGCATCGTTTAGGGCGCTTATTAAAAGAGCGTTCTTATATTGCACCAACGTACAGGATAGAATTAGCGAGATTAACTGAATCAGGAAGATTGCGAAAAGTTTAGGATACAAAACATCTACAATTAACGGATTGGTCAAAGGTTACAAACAAGAGACAAACAAACGGGATAAGCTAAAAAATAGGTTTAATAAGTTTACATACAACAGGAAGGTAGAAGGAATAATGGAAGAACTATGTAAATATAAGAGCACAAGAACTGTTTATAAACGAGCGCCACACATCTACAAATTGCTAAGGAATGATAAGGACAAGATAGGAATGAAAGAAAAGGCTGGGTTTATATAATTCCCTTTGAAAATCAACAACTAGGAGTGGCAAAAGATTATATGGGAGTTACCACGAGAAACCTGGCGGCTCGTTTAAAGGAGCACATGTGTGACGTTAGTAAAGGGAACAACAACACCATCTTGGCAATCATGGCACAATCAGATGGAGCAAATGTTAAGTGGGATGATACAAGGATAGTTAGACCGCTCCATTATCCGACTATTGCGTTTGGCATAGAAAAAATGCAGATATATAAGAGTAAAATAAATAATAATTGCTTAAACGCAAAGGATGCTAATGCTCTGCCAACGGTATAGAAATACTTGTTAGAAAAAGAAATAGGAATTAAAAACCCGTAAACTTATGGAAGATATATTTTACTAGTTTAATGTATATTTTTTATTTTTATTTTTTGTTATATTAATTTTATATATATTTATTATTTAATATGTTAAAAAATTTTTAGTTAAGTAGAGGATGGCCTATTAGAAGTAGGCTGAAAACGTTAAAAATTTAAATTTAAAATTTATTCGAAAGTTTTGTATTCAATTGTTAAACGGTAATATCTTGAGGATGGCCTATTAGAAGTAGGCTGAAAACGTTTGAACAGTAAATAAATAATAAGCTCAGCAAATTTTTAGTGTTTGATTATATTTGTTACAAAAAGAATTTTTTAGCAGTCAAATGAATGAAGGTCTTGTCATAACTTAGGGAGCATTCTCGTATGGTGATAAACTTGTTCATGTTAAAATTAAAATTAAATAAATATCCGAAAATTATCAGCTGTTATTAAAAAACATTTGCTCTCACATAGATAATATTTTACAAGAAATAAATAGTATTATTAAAAAGACAATGCTTGCTGACACAACTCAAACGCAATTCAAGTCTGGCTTCAGACAAAAAAATTAATGTTACACTTTAGCTATTAAGAAATTCTGTTGAAAACTTTTGAGGTATTCAAAGTCAGAACATAATCGCAAGCAATCGCCAATTTTTACAAGTTCAAGAACTTGAATGCGAAATTGCCCATTAATGAAATAATATTGACAAGGATTTAGTGAAAAACTCTATAGGTCAATACGAAACACGCTTCTTAGATTCATACGAAGAACTGAAGCAACAATCAACTATAATTCAAGAAATTTGCTTTTGAAACTTTGATTTTATGATCTCATAAATGTATTGAAAGTGAAAATTTGACTTTTGTAAAACTATTAATTAAAATGTGTTAAAGTTGTTGAACTAATTGTTCAAAATGTCTTCAATACTTGTGTTTATTTTATTGAGTATAATAATTAACCATTAATCATTGTTGAATTTCAGAAAACTTATGATATGTACTGGTGTTATAATTTCTTAACAAACTGTACTTCAATTAAATTATTTTCTATAGAGAGATAATTGTATATTACGCACAAAATTTTATTTGTTTCTGTGCTCTTATATTTAGTGAAATCTATTTAGCTAACGTAAGCGAGTTTTTCAAAAAGTCAGAACGTGTTTTGGTTGAGAATGTGTATGTTGGAAATTTACAGCATTGGCATGACTACTAATCATGACTTTTTAAAAATACATATATTTCGTACTTATTTCCAAAATGAAATATGTATATTTTTAATGGTAATACCCGGACTAACCAAAATTTTGATATGCTGCGAGTATTTATGAAATGTGATATTCGCGGTCACAGGTCGCCTTGAAAAGTCTACTTATAGATCGAGTTGACGATTGACAGCTGTCTACTTACATGATCTCTACAACAATTTTTAAATTTAGATTTGGATCAGTTTTTAACTGTTTTTAATACAATTTTGGTTTTCTAAGCAATGAAGCTCAGTTTCTTTTTACTTAGTGTTTGATGAACCAATGTATCTGCACACATCTGCCGATCAATGTCAAATGCAGTAGTTCTATTGCTTCAGCTAATAATTAATGAAGATGAAAATCAATTTACCTAAGACGATTTATTGTGATCTTGAAGTAAGAAATGTTATTTTCAGTTTTCTGCGTTTTATTTTTAGTATATTTCTGTAAACATTATTTAATTCTCCTTTTATTTTTATCATGTAAAAAGCACTAAAAATAACAATAGAATTTCCTTACAATACATAAGATTATCAACATACCTCCATATCCCGAAATGCACGCTACACATATCCATGCAATTAAAGCTGTCCATGCAATCGGAGAAAGAATATGATGTGCCATAATTAAAGATTTATTTGGTAAAATGTCGGTTTTGCAAATATGCAAACAGAAAAAAGACAATCCGAACAGAAAAATCGTCGAAATCCAACATGAAGTAAATATCTCCTAGAAAAAAAAGGATAGATTTAATTTTTTTTCATAATCGTGTAGCTGTATTTTGTTGAGTTTTATTTCTGTAATCTATTCATTATTATGTGTAGTATTTCAAACTTCCAAACGAAATATTCATTAATTTAAAAACGTACAATTTATAATTCAGTGTACTTTTCTACATATGCATTGCATTTTTTGCATAAGCATTACGGGTCGTCATAACATCTCCTTTTTGCCAGTGCTATAAATCCACCATTTTCTCTCATTATAATTTTACTGTAGAAATTATATATACTAACTTCATGTCTATTTACAATTTTATAAAAAGCAATTATAGGTAAAAATTTAATTGCGAGTAGAATAGTAAGATCATAGGTGATTACTGATGAATTAGGTTTTAATTAATTTATATCGTTTGTTTCTCTTTCCTTAGCATAACAAGTGTTAATTCACAAAAATGTGTGAAGTAGACACAAGCATTATATAAAATGTTTTACATATTATAAGTTGTAATGTTCTGCAATCTTAATGGGGTCCAGAAGTATATAACAGTGAGTAATCCTATGTTAATAATCTAGTTAACTATGTATGTAAGTACTGTAGTATTTAATATATATAATATTATGTTAGTAGTATAAAACTGGATAAGTACTTGTACCCGGAATTGATTTTACCTATAATTGTTTTTTATAAAAGAACGTATAAATGAAAACTAGTCAGCAAGTTGAAATTTATAATTTCCACAGTAAAGTTATAATGAGAGGATCTTTACAGCATTGAAAAAAAATTGAGATTGTATATCTAACCAAAATGCATACAAGTATGTAAAATAAAAAATTGAATAATAAATTGTACGTTGATAAACTAAAGGATATTTGGTTTGACTGTTTGAAATACTAAAACTGACACTGAAAAGTTGATATAGTTAAAACTCATAGATTTTAAAATGAAATTTACAATTATCATGTTTCATATTCAATCATACGAAACAAATTTTTATCAATGTAAAAATTATTTAAATATTAATATTATTTTATATTGTTACTTAAACTTTATCCACGATTACGAGTAGAATAATTTTTTAAATGTAATTTAATATTAACAATATTATTAGAGCCATTATAAGAAAAGTCAACAATGGACTTCTGTAACAATGAACATCAAAAAGTATTGTCGACGAGATTAACAATAAATTTTTAATTGTTAAAAAAATAATAATTTTTAATTGCAACTGGACCAGGGGTGGCGAACAGTTTCTGTCCCCGGGCCGAATTGGAAAAAAAACTTTTTTCACGGGCCGAATCAGAGACTGCCCTAGGAAGATTTTGAGGTGGTGCGAGATCTCATTGTGGTGTCAGATTAAAGATTACAGATACATTTTTCACGTTATCACTCTACGCTGTACTTACGAGATTTGTAATGGATGGTTCAATTCAAAAGCACAGTGAGTTGTTGATTTTCTTTTTACTTTTTTAAGCGTCAGAATTTTTCATCGAGCTATTCGGTCTTCAGTAGCTAATATTGAAAGATTGATCGCGGGCCAACATAAATTCATTAGACGGGCCGGATCTGCCCCGCGGGCCAGATCCGGCCCGTCTAATGAATTTATGTTGGCCCTACCTGAACCAGACTATAGCAAGTGTGTGCATGTCATGCTTGTCTGGGTAGAGTCGACAGTCGGGTCACAGCGAAAATAGGATCAGTTACAAGTTTTTAATCGCTGCGATTGTTTAGTCGCAAGTGTATGCACTTGTATTGGAAACAGTGAGTTTTATTTTTGCGACTGAAAAATCGCGCGAATAGAAATCGCAAGTGGTAGCCTAGCCTATCGAAGATATAAACTACGTACACCGGAAACTGCGGACCGATAACCCAATATTTTCAATTAATCTTTACTATTTATCTACCATTACTAGTTCACTATTAATCTTAATTATTTCCAAATGTTCTTAACACATAGTTCTATATGAATTATTAAATAAGTGCCGAAGATTTTGTACAATGGACTGTAGCCAATAATACACTTAAGTAATTTACTATATTTTCTCACCTATAACACCAATTTTTTCTGTTCTGAAAATGGAATGAGGCTTATACATCCGGAAGAAGGATATACAGTAAGACCCCGCTTAACGCTGCCTCGATTAACGCTGATTCGATATAACGAGGTCTGCTCGAAGCATAAAAAAAGCTCAAAATTTACGCTGATTCAAATTATCGCGGCAATTCATTGATTCGTATATAATATGATAATGTACGAACACGAACCAATCAGTAAAAGGCGGCAATTCGTCGTAGCGCTGTACTTCCCTTAAATCTATGTTTGTTTGGTGCAATTTTGGTAAAAATATAACATCATGGAAGCCATAAAAAATATCGACTTGGCGTAACAAGAATTAACTGATGAATGCACGAAAGGAGTGTGGAAGAAGTTATGGCTGAATGTATCCAAAATTTCTGCACGAGAAGAGCCTATCGCTGTATCATTAGCTAAGTTGAATAAATTGTTAACCTAATCGATAAAGCAAGACTAGGAGATGTAGACAAACAAGATATTGAGGAGTAACTGCAGGTTTCTGGTGAGAGCCTTACTAACGACGACCTTCGAGGACAGGAAGAGCAATAACTTCATATAGAACTGGAAAATAATGATTTTGAAAACGAAGAATCCAAAGAATATCTGTACAGATTTTCTTAGTAAATATTTTGTAACGATAACCGAAATCATCGATCAAACTGTATTGAATGATCAGATTTTGAAATGAGTGCAAAAGCAAAACGAGGCGTTTGTATTGATGTATAACCCGTTTTTTTAACCCTTTTACTGTCGCTAACTGTATTAACAAAGTTCCTGCACATTAGCTATGAGCAATGAAAACATTGAAATGAAGGATACATTAACGAAAGAGAATCAAAAAGACGTAATTATATATAATTATGTCTAAAGATATGTAAATATATATAATTATATATACATAGTCTTCTTTAAGAAGTAAAAATAAAACTACTAGAAAGTTTATGAAAACAATGAAAATAAATTTAATAATCTGTCAGAAATATAACGTTAATTTATTATCGAGCAAAAGTAATTTACTTGATATTGTAGAACTACAATCGAAAATTTATAAGGAATAAATATATTTAACTTATAAATATTCTTATAATAAATCATCTTCCATACTAATTGCGGCATGCTATAAAACATTTTAAATTATGCGATTTTCAACAAACGGATTTTGATAAGGAAACATCCAACACTCTTACCCTCAATTTAAATAATAATTACAATAATGGGAATTGTTTTAAAAGATTACTCCTGAGTAAATAACTTACTAGTTATTTGTATTACAAAATTTCAATGGGTTAAAAATATACATTATAAGTGTTTATGTTCTTGACAGATATGTAAGATGGAAAATTTCTCCTTCCTTCTTCATTTCTCCTTCTTCCTTCTTCATTTCTCCTTCCTTCTTCATTTCTCCTTCTTCCTTCTTCATTTCTCCTTCTTCCTTCTTCATTTCTCCTTCTTCCTTCTTCATTTCTCCTTCTTCCTTCTTCATTTTGTGTTTCTTCACGCTGTGTTTCTGCATGTTCTCTATCTGTTTCGACATTCATACTGTGTTCACCCTCTCTTCCTTCTTCTCTTCTTCGTTCATTCCTTCCTAGCATTCTTACTTCTTGTTCTAATCTTCCTCGTTCAGTGACTCTTCGTTCATTTCTTCTTAAAATTCCTATTTCGTGTTCTAAACTTTCTCTTTCGTTGGCACTTACTTCATTTCTTTGTAACCTCCTTGCTCTTTCTTCCAATCTTCTTTCTCTTTGACGATATAATCGAGTGCGTTCCCTATTTTTTCTCAACCTTTCCGCTCGCTGATTCGGTGTTTCGTTATTTCTTCTTTGTCTTTCTCTATCCCGATTTCTTTCTCTTCGTCTTTCAATTCTTTCCAAAAATTCGTCCATCTTTTTCTGTCAGTATTAATGAGATTAAACAGTTGATTAGAAATTGATAAAGTTTGGAATATTTTTTAAATCAAAAAGTTGTATCTAAGCAATTATAAGAATTACACTAAAATTTTAGATTTTACTACTAATAGAGGAGAAGGTGGTATTATG